CGCATTGAGTCGCCGAACAGGCTGATAAATGCGGTATAAAAATGAAGCAAATAAATAAATAAATAAATAAATTCCTCCGGAACGCCAGCAAGGAGGGGGCCAATCTGATATCTGTAGGAAAGGCGTTCCACAGCCGAGGGGCCACCACTGAGAAGGCCCTGTCTCTCGTCCCCGCCAAGCGCGCCTGTGATGCGGGCGGGACAGAGAGCAGGGCCCTCCCAGATGATCTTAGTGTCCTAGCCGGTTCATAGGAGGAGATGCGTTCGGAGAGGTAAGTAGGGCCAGAACCATTTAGGGCTTTATAGGCTAAAGCCAGCACTTTGAATTGGATACAGAATAAGATTTCTTCATCTTCATTCAAACGAGAGAGCAAAACATAAACCTTGAGTAAATAGCTATTCCACCATAGCATAGAGCATCGCTGTTAGAGCACGATCCCCCCTTTCCCCATCAACTCTGTAGATGCCCCATTCCTTACATGTATGTCTATATGAGGAAATGTGAAGTGACCTTTTCATGAACCAGCAACTCATGGCTCTAGGGATTTCCAAACTTCCTGAGCCAATAATCCCCAAAGAAAGGACTTGACCAAAAAACCCAAACATCTGCATGGACAATAAGTAAATGGCTCCTTTTTTCTGGACCTCAGAGGGCCCAATGGCCATACCATCCAGGACAATGGAGTCTACGGACATACTGAATCTCTGCTTAAGCAGGACCTCCCACATTCATGATCGACATCATTTTGGTGACTTTCACGAAGGGACTCAGGCTTGGGGTCCCACTAAATTTTAGCACAAAAAAGCAAGCCGCTACCTGGACCTGGGGCTCAGGGACAGACCTCTCCGAGGGATCACTGGGAGAGGTGCCTCTAAATTTCTCACGGGCACCCTTGTTGCCCACCCAGGCACATCCCTCGTAGTTGGACTGACTAAGGACCCCGGCACAAAGGAGCACAGAAGCACCTTGACTTCTCAGAAGGAAAGCCACCAACCGGGGGGGGG